TTATAGTAGCTGGTAGCATGATGGTCGGGGCAATACCTCACCTTCCTTCATGACCCTTCCCCAGGTCCTCCTCCAACCCCTCCCCAGGTCGCAGGTACTTTATTTGACCCCTCCCCAGGCCTCCTCCAACTCCTCCCCAGGCCTCCTCCTCCCCTCCCCAGGCCCTCCTCAACCCTCCCCAGGTCCCAGGTGTCCCCAGGTTGTGATCACAGGTAGTAGGGCTCAGGTCTCGTGCGGTGGTCGCGTGGCTGTCTCTGTCTGACGTAATATAAATATTCGTAATCACCGTCCCATGCCGCCACACGCCACTACACGCCCGCTCATGCCACCACACGCCCCCCACGCCACCACCACACGCTGCCAACAATCACCCATGCATGCCATCACATATACTGTCCCACGCCATTACACGCCCACTTATGCTTGGCCTGTACCGCCCTCTGCCTCCACACAGTCACACGCCATTACACGCTGGCACTAAACGCCAACACAAAGTTGCCTCTACACACACACACACACACACACACACACACACACACACACACACACACACACACTAAACCAAGCATTAAAACAAGACCAATATTTGCAGCAGTAAGACTAACGAGCCGTGTTTTAAACTAGTATTTTACCTGTGATAACCTTGTTTGTATTTCTCGTCTCAAGGTGATGGTAATTGATGTGTGTGTGTGTGTGTCTATCTTTTCTTTGTTAGTGTATTTGTGTATTTACGCGCTCTCTCTCTCTCTCTCCCCCTCACACACACACACACACACACACACACACACACACACACACACACACACAGGCGCCAGGCTCAGAATCCTCGACACATATATTAGACGTTTATGGAAACTGTTGGCGCTAAGTGGCTGAGACGTGTGTGTGTGTGGTGTGTGTGTGTGAACGTTATTCTGGCCATTGTAGTGTGGAGGAACGGCTGGTGAACATAAACGACTTTGGCTCAACACATTATCTTAAGTCAACCATTGAGAAACTTCCAGGTGGGGGGTGGGTGGGGGTCAGGGTCAGGGGAGGTGGGTGATGGAGGGAGGTGGGTGAGGGAGGTGGGTGAGGGGAGGTGGGTGATGAAGGGTGATGGGTGGGTTGTGGGGAGGGTGTTGGAGGAGGTGGGTGAAGGGGGAGGTGGGTGATGGAGGTGATGGGTGGGTTGAGGGGAGGGTGTTGGAGGAGGTGGGTGAGAGGAGGTGGGTGATGGAGGGTGATGGGTGGGTTGGTAGGGGAGGGGTGTTGGAGGAGGTGGGTGAGGGGGAGGTGGGTGATGGAGGGTGATGGGTGGGTTGTGGGGAGGGGGTGTTGGAGGAGGTGGGTGGGGGGGGGGTGATGGGTGGGGAGGGTGTGGAGGAGGGGTGGGGAGGTGGGTGATGGAGGGTGATGGGTGGGTTGTGGGGAGGGTGTTGGAGGTGGGTGAGGAGGTGGGTGATGGAGGGTGATGGGTGGTTGTGGGAGGGGGTGATAGGGGAGGTGGGTGAGGGGAGGTGGGTGATGGGTGGGTTGTGGGGAGGTGTTGGAGGAGGTGGGTGAGGGAGGTGGGTGATGGAGGGTGATGGGTGGGTTGTGGGGAGGGGGTGTTGGAGGAGGTGGGTGAGGGAGGTGGGTGATGGAGGGTGGTGGGAAGGGTAGGTGGGTGGGGAGGGAGTGGTGGGGGAGGTGGGGAGGGAAGGTGGGTGATGGAGGGTGATGGGTTGTGTGGTGGGGAGGTGGGTGATGGGGAGGTCACACACACACACACACACACACCACACACACACACACACACACACTCTCTCTTCCTCCTTCCTTCGCTCCTTCTCCCTGCCCTCTCTTCTCTTCTCGTCTTCCTCTATCTCTTTCCTTCCTTCTACCTTCTAATTCTTTCTACTTCATCTTTATTCTTCTCAATCTATTCTCTTCCTTTCCTCCTTCTTAACTCTCCTCTTATTTTTCTTTTCTCACATATTCCCCTCCTTACTCTCTCCTCCTACCCCCCCTCTCTTCCTTCTTCATTTCTCCTCCTTCTCTCCTTCTCTTCCTCCCCCTTCCCTCCGTCTCTTCCTTCTTCATTTTCCGTCCTCCTCTTCCTCCTTCCCTCCTTCTCTTCCTGTCTCATTCCCTCTCCTTCCTTCTCATCCTCTTCTCCTTTTCCTTCTTCCTTCTCATCTCATTTCCCTCTTCCTCACCCTCCTTAAAAAAAACACTCAGCCCGAGGGAGGGGAGGGGAGAAGGGGGGGCTCCTGATTAGCTTCGGCTTCAATATTAAACCAAGACAAACAAACAGAGAAAAACAAGGACACACAAACCACTGCGGGGTTTAATAATTAAACCTAAGTTCTCATGTCAACAATTTATATTTTGTATTTATTTATCATATTACATTTTGATAATTTTAATATAATAATAATAATAATAATAATAATAATCCCAGTAAAGATAAAATTCATTAACACACACACACACACACACACACACACACACACACACACACACACACACACACACACACACACACACTTAATTAAATAATTGAATACAAGCAATAATAAAATAAAACAAACTTAAATCATTAATTACAAACAAACACAATATCATGTCATCAAACAATTACATAACAAAGAAATCAACAATAATGACGTTTCTTGTTTTGTTTACTCACGAAGGATGACTCTGATTGGCTGAAACTGGGAACATGACAACAGAGAAGACGCAGTAAATAGGGAGAAAATATAATTGAGAAAGAAACAAAAAATAAGAAAATTGGGGAAAATATATAATGAAACTGGGGAAAATAATGAAACTGGGGAAAATAATGAAACTGGGGAAAATAGTGAAACTGGGGAAAATAGTGAAATTGGGGAAAATAATGAAACTGGGGAAAATAATGAAATTGGGGAAAATAGTGAAATTGGGAAAACTAAAACACTAAAAATCCCAAACAGAAAATGATAAAAATAGGAAAATAAATAAATCATGAAATGGGGGAAGGGGAGGGTGGGGGAAAGGGGAAGGGGAGGGAGGGGGTGGAGCCAAATACCCCCCAAAACAAAAACCTCTAAAACTGGCAAAAAACGACGGATTTGAAAACACCAGAAAAATTGGGAAGGTTGAAATTGGCAAGAGGTGTAATGGACCATGGTGACGTCATAGTGTAATTGGATGCACCATTAAGGGCGACCATTGACAGGTATAATGGTGCATGGTAGTATTCGTTCACCATTGTAAATACCATTCTGATATCCCTGTACACATTGCGTGGTTTGTTGACGCGCACACATGAGCACAAACATAGACTCACACACAGACAGACAGATAAAAACAGACACAGACACACACACAAGACAGACAGACAGACATACACTATTTTACATAATACGACACTATATTCTACAGGTCGCTGGGGTGCCATTAATGTCCACATAAGTAAACAAGAAGTGCCAGAGTGCCGCAAGGCGATTCTTCACTGTTTTAGGGTCATTTCCCGAGATGCAATAGGCTGTTAGGTCGTTAATCTCCACTCCACGCTCACTGGCCACTTACATACACTTAACAGGGGAGAAAAGTGTATGTAGTGAAGTCTATTGGTTTAAGTAAGTGTCACTGTTCCACTTACATACACTTAACAGGGGAGAAAAGTGTATATAGTGAAGTCTATTGGTTTAAGTAAGTGTCACTGTTCCACTTACATACACTTAACAGGGGAGAAAAGTGTATGTAGTGAAGTCTATTGGTTTAAGTAAGTGTCACTGTTCCACTTACATACACTTAACAGGGGAGAAAAGTGTATGTAGTGGTCCTTCTTTCTTTCTCTCACTCTCCCCTCCACCTTTCCTCCTACCCACCTTACCCCTCCTTCCTTCCTCCCTCAACCCCCCTCTCCCTCCTATCCCCCCACCCCTCCCTCCCTATCTCTCCACTCCACCCCTTCATCTCCCTCACTCTTCTCACCCCTCCCCTTCCCTCCCCTATCTCTCCTCACCTTCCCCATCTCCCTCACTCTTTCACCCCTCCCTTCCTCCCCTATCTTCACTCCACCCCTTCCCCTATCTCCCTCCCTCTTCCTCCTTCCCCTCCCTCCCCCAGTTTACGGCCAGATAAACAAACACAAGACAATAATTCACTCACAATATCCCCTTAAAACACCAATGAATAAATCAGAAATAAACAGTTTGGTTGGTAATATCGGCTCTTGCCTCACACTAACACGGTCAGGGGAATACACGGTCAGGGAATAGGAATACACGGTCAGGGGAATAATACGGTCAGGGAATATACGGTCAGGGGAATATACGGTCAGGGGAATACACGGTCAGGGGAATATACGGTCAGGGAATATACGGTCAGGGAATATACGGTCAGGGAATATACGGTCAGGGAATAAGTCAGGGAATATACGGTAGGAATATACAGTCAGAATATACGGTCAGGAATATACGGTTAGGGAATAAAAACAACCACGAATATACGGTCAGGGAATATACGGTCAGGGAATATACGGTCAGAATATACGGTCAGAATATACGGTCAGGAATACGGTCAGAATACAGTCAGGGAATATACGGTCAGGGAATATACGGTCAGGGGAATATACGGTCAGAATATACGGTCAGAAATACGGTCGGGAATATACGGTCAGGGAATAAGTAGGAATACACGGTCAGGGGGAATATTTCTTCTACTACATTAATTTCTCGCTTATTTATCTATCCATCTATGTATTTATCCTCTATCTCTTCCTGAACCTTTTAACCTATGCATAATAATAATACATACCTGTGTATATAATATATATATATATATATATATATATATATATATATATATATATATATATATATATATATATATATATATATATATATATATATATATATATAATACATAAGCGATCAAAATAAACCAATAAAACAGAAAAATCAAGAATCGTAAAGATGATCTACCTAAAAATGATGACGTCAATTTCCCGCCAGAAAATGAATGTAAACAAATCGTCCGAAAGTACTCACTCGGCCTCGGGTACGGTTTCGGTCATGGCGAGGAAGACACAGTTGAGGAGGATGGTTGCCATGACTAGGTAATCGAAGAACTGGTTGGTAGACAGGAAAATGGCCGCCCTTCGTAGAGGATGCCAAGGCGAGAATAAGAAGAGAGATTTCGAGGCGGAGAATCTGTGGACGTAGTTCTTGCGAAACCTTGGACACCACGCAGAAGGTCTGTTAGGAGAGGGAGAGAGAGAGGTTGGGATTAGTTGTGCTTGTAGTGGATGATGGTGGGGGGTGAGGGGGGTTGGTGGTGGGGTGAGGGGGGTGGTGGGGGAAGGAAGGGGGTTGGTGGTGGGGAGGGAAGGAAGGGGTTATTGGTGGTGGTGGTAATGGGGTGAGTGGTGTATACATGATGGTAATTGTTAAATCTAAATTATTAATGATGGTAATGGGAGTATTAATGGTAGTAATGATTAGATACACATTAATCATGGTAGTGGTAATGATAGTTATGGCAATGGTGATGGTGGTTATGGTGGTAGTTATGGTAATGGTGATGGTAGTTATGGTAATGGTGATGGTAGTTATGGTAATGGTGATGGTGGTTATGGTAATGGTGGTGGGTAACAACTATTAGTCTTACCGTAATCTTAATGGTAAGTAATGGTAGTTACAATATGATTTTTAATAGATAGATTCATTCATTAACGATGGTAATAGTGGTAATGGTGGTTGTGATGACAGAAATAATGGTAGTAGCAGCTATAGTGATGGTGGTTAGTGATGGTAGTTTACAACTTTCCGGACAAAATATCATTGGACAAAATACTGTTACATTATTTTCTCTTGAACAATAAGATATTCTTTGGTGCACATAAATTAGGTTAAGTTACTTTAAGTTAAGTTATGGATAAAGTTGGATTAAGTTATGTTAAGATTAATTAACTTTATTTTAGGTTAAGTTATGTGAAGTTAAATATGAGTAAGGTGGACATTTCAGTAAGTTAGTAGTGGTGGTTTGCGTGACATGGAGTTATTACCACAAGTTACGTCCCTCAAACACGCTGCAAATTCACTCAAACTTACGTCACAATGGCGCATTTTTCACCCCTCACGTCTACAAAAACTCTCCTACGTTAAATTACTCCCCTAACTGGTAATTAGGACACGTAACTACCATACCTCTACGTTAGGACATGTACTGTATGTTGTCAATTGCATTCCTAAGTCACTAAGGAAAATATTAATACCGATTTATGATTCTTTTTATTAAAGGCTTCCATAAGACTCGTAAAACACAGCAATATGGCGTCTAAATTAAATTAAGACTGTAATAAAGGAGGTCATGATATTTATGTTGGAAGAAAATATGTATTAACGAAGGTCATTTTGAGTGTTCAGTGCCCCAGCTCTACCGCCATTGTCATAAAAAATATATCCATTTTCCTACTCTTAATTAACTCAACTCAGTAATTTAACGTAGATAAACTCCTCTGGATTAGCGTCAATGATAAACTTGTAATAATTAGAACGAGGGAATGTTCTAGGAAATAAAGATTAAAATGTCATTAAGTCTTCCCACCAAAACACAGACGCGACACAAAGAGGTGCCACATGTCGTCACCCACATCACGCAGCAGGAGTTGGTGTACCAGGGGTTTAAAACTCTCAGTCTTTGTTATCTTCGTCTTTATACACCTACATTAAGGATAATTTGCCATCAAGACGCTGTGGGGGGGTAAGGGTGAAATATATCCCAGCACGTGAGGAAAAGTGGCACCATTGTACACTACACACACAGCTAGAGAAGTCATTATTTCTCGTTATTATTTATATAAACCTATTTTTTTCTCCCACTCTCTTAAATTATCAACGTGGAGAAAAAATAAATCTCATATTTTCTAAAGACACATTTGAATTGTCCGTCTGACTAAAATAACCACAAAGATGAATCAAGTTTTCGCGAGGGAACAACACTAGACATGAACTGGGTCGATGTTTCTTTCATGGCTGACATCGACCTGCTGACTCTGCTGTTGTTATTATTATTATTATTATTAGTATTATTAGTATTATCATATACTGTTATTATTATTATTATTATTATTATTATTATTATTATGATACTGTTATTATTATTATTATTATTATTATTATTATTATTATTATTATTTTATTATCACTTATGACAAGACTATACAGTGTAGGGCGGGACAAGACAGGCTCACGACAGGCCGCCTGCTCCTCGCTGTTGCAGGTCAGGAAGCCCGGTAGTTGTGACAACGTTAATTGTCCACTAAGTCATTCTTACCCTACCTGTTATTATCACCTGTTCTTCTTTACTCTTGTTTATTCTTTATTTAATTCTATTCATTTTCTATCACAGACATACACACATTCCTACAATACTAGTGACTGACAGCTACTAGTGACTGTCAGCTACTAGTGACTGACAGCTACTAGTGACTGTCAGCTACTAGTGACTGACAGCTACTAGTGACTGACAGCTACTAGTGACTGTCACACGAGTGACTGACAGCTACGAGTGACTGACAGCTACGAGTGACTGTGAACTAGTAAGGACTGACAGCTGCTACCACCATCACCACCACTTTCATCATCACTAACCCTACCACCATCACAGCTACCACTATCATCACCCCCATTACTACCACCACCACCACCACTATAACCACCACCACCACTGTAACTACCACCATTATCACTACGACCATCATCTCTTTCGCTCTCCATTCATTCCACCTTCCTTCTTCTTCTCTCTCTTCTTCTCTTTCCTCCCTAATGGCCGGTAGTTATATAAATCGTTCCATTATCATTACACTGAGGACACAACCTGTTTGTTAGAGAGAGAGAGAGAGAGAGAGAGAGAGAGAGAGAGAGAGAGAGAGAGAATGAATAACAGTAAATAACAGGCAAGAACAAGAACATATCCATCACAACAATAACAATGAATGACATGTAGTGACAAATGAATGAAAGAATGAAAAATATTATACAAAATAAATACCACATGTAAACAAACTGCTTCACAGGTCACAAACAAACACCTCTGCTCTTAACAACCAAAGAAAAACAAACAAACACAGAGACAAATAAATTCTCATGATAGATACATTCTTATTATTGTTTTGTGTCTTGAGTTGCACAAAAACATTACGTAAATAAAATGTTCTCCAGTTCAACAGTTCACTAAAATGTTCTCCAGTTCAACAGTTCACTAAATGCTGTAAAAAAATTTTTATTAAAATTTTATTCCCATTAATAGATGTTATTTATATATAAACATTCACAAATATATGATATTTATATATAAACATTTCTTTAATACGTGACATGTATATAATAAACAGGTGTGACAGATCTTGTATGTATGTATGTATGTATGTATGTATGTATGTATGTATATATGTATGTATGTTTCAGAGGTTTATAATACACATTAAATATACATATACATCAACGCTGGTATACATGTCGTCCTGCTCACGCCTTATACATAACTTGGGTGCATTAGAGTGCATAAGAGTGCATACATGGTTGAAAAATGCCTAGTGAACAGTGCATAGATGGGAAGGGGTGCATACGAGAGAGAGAGAGAGAGAGAGAGAGAGAGAGAGAGAGAGAGAGCAAACAAAATATAATCACAAATAAACAAAAACAAGAGAATCAAAGCACTGTGGCAGACGATTGTAAACAAGAGTGTAAACAAGGGTGCAAATAAGAGTGTAAACAAGGGTGCAAATAAGAGTGTAAACAAGGGTGTAAACAAGAGTGTAAAGTGTAAACAATGATGTAAACAAAGCAAACGATTAACATCTCCATCAGGTGTTAGAAAGCTTAGAAAACAGGCAAGAGAAAGGTCCCATCAGAGAAAGCTTATCATGCCGAGTCGTCACAGCTCAGTAGAAAGCTTACAACTCAAGCTTTAAATATGTCAAGGGCGAGTTACAAAATACCTAAGCCGGCGAAAAAAAACATTTGTTTAGTACAGCTTAAAGTACAGTATAGAGCTTAATAGAGAAAGCAAAGATTTAAGCTATCAGGCATTAATAGCTGATAGAGAGAATGTGGGTTCAGCTCAAAGATAAAAGCTAAAAAAAATCACTATATTATTCCAGACAAAAAAAGCTAAGAGGAGGATAATGAGGAAAATTGTCCTGTTCCCCTCAGAGACAGCTAAAAATAGAAAGCATTCCCCTCAGCTAAAAATACAAAAGCCAAAAAAAAAAACCCCGAAGCTATCAATCGTATAAAAATAGCTGAACGAGGGAAAGAAAGTTTGCATCCCGTTCAGCTCACAGCAGCTATAAAAGAAAAGCTTAAGACCTCCACATGAAAAAAAAAAAACTACTGTTGGTCTCTTGTTAGCTGATTGGGTTGCCCAGTTAGCTGCACTGCCTGGTTAGCTGGGCTGGCTGGCTCGAGTTCTGCTCTACCAAAGCTATTATTATTATTATTATGAATAAGGGAGGAACTAGGAGATACCTTATCGAAGCCAGACAGAATATCGTCTGGTTCATCGGCCAGCAGCTGAAACTGTTGGCAGAGGGGAGAGGGACAAGACCTAAAAACATGTACACACTGTTAACAGGACAACGGGAAGGTTTTTATACAGGTGAGATACTGTTAACAGGAAGGTTTTATACAGGTGAGATACTGTTAACAGGAAGGTTTTATACAGGTGAGATACTGTTAACAGGAAGGTTTTATACAGGTGAGATACTGTTAACAGGAAGGTTTTATACAGGTGAGATACTGTTAACAGGAAGGTTTTATACAGGTGAGATACTGTTAACAGGAAGGTTTTATACAGGTGAGATATCATTAACAGGAAGGTTTTATACAGGTGATACTGTTAACAGGAAGGTTTTATACAGGTGAGATACTGTTAACAGGAAGGCTTTATACAGGTGAGATACTTTGTTTAACAGGAAGGTTTTATACAGGTGAGATACTGTTAACAGGACAACGGAAAGGTTTTATACAGGTGAGATACTGTTAACAGGGACAACAGGAAGGTAATAAACAGGTTACATACTGTTAACAGGAACCAGTGGTCAAGTTTTATATGTACATAATGTTAACAGGGCATAAAAAGGTCAACAAGTATGTACACACTGTTAACAGGACAACGGGAAGGCATTATAGAGGTGACATACTGTTAACAGGACAACGGGAAGGCATTATAGAGGTGACATACTGTTAACAGGACAACGGGAAGGCATTATAGAGGTGACATACTGTTAACAGGACAACGGGAAGGCATTATAGAGGTGACATACTGTTAACAGGACAACGGGAAGGCATTATAGAGGTGACATACTGTTAACAGGACAACGGGAAGGCATTATACATATTATACTCTGAACAAATTAACAGGGAAATATGATACACTACACATACCTACTGTTAACAGGACAACAGTAGGAGGTCCTTAACAACAACAGATATACACTAAACTGTATCAAACAAAAACTACAGAAACTTACACCTGTAACTACATAATTGATTACGTTACAGTTATTTGAAGTTAATGTTTGGGGGAATGTTAATTTCAATGTTAATTTTGTGTTTTATTTACCTTTCCATGCAGCGCCTAAGCTTGTGGGGCAAGAGCGTGTTACGTTCATGGGATATTGAGTACACACACACACACACACACAGTCCCTTTACAAGCACCCATTCCTAAAACAATTCCAACAGTGCCTGGAATGCGAACGGGAATCGAGGTGGAATTCCTGACAATCCAGCGTGATCCGGCGCCCTAACCTAACCACCAAGGGGGAGTCTTAACAAGGGGGATAATTGCCTAGTTCGTGTGTCTTCCAATTAGCACTTGCAACAACAGGAGGGATGGCAGACTATTTCAATTCTCGTTTGGTGTAATGACGGGCTGTGAGAGGTGAGGAGGAGGTGGGGGAGAGGGAGGGAGGAGGTGAGGGAGAGGTGGGAGGAGGAGGTGAGGGAGAGGGAGGAGAGGTGAGGGGAGGAGAGGAGAGGAGGAGGAGGTGAGGAGAGGTGAGGGAGAGGTGAGGGAGGAGGAGGAGGAGGGAGAGGTGAGGAGGAGGAGGAGGAGGAGGAGGAGGAGGGAGAGGAGGAGGAGGTGGGAGGGAGAGGTGAGGAGGAGGTGGAGGAGAGGTGAGGAGGAGGGAGAGGTGAGAGAGGTGAGGAGGAGGTGAGGGAGAGGTGAGGGAGAGGTGAGGGAGGAGGAGGAGGAGGTGAGGAGGAGGTGAGGGAGGAGGTGAGGGAGAGGTGAGAAGGAGGTGGAGGGAAGGTGAGGAGAGGAGGAGGAGGTGAGGGAGAGGTGAGGAGGAGGTGAGGGAGAGGTGAGGGAGAGGTGAGGAGGAGGGAGGGAGAGGTGAGAAGGAGGTGAGGGAAGGTGAGGAGGAGGGTGAGGGAGAGGTGAGGAGGAGGAGGTGAGGGAGAGGTGAGGGAGAGAGGGAGAGGTGAGGGAGAGGTGAGGAGGAGGTGAGGAGAGGTGAGGGAGAGGAGGATGTGGAGGAGGAGGGGTGAGGGAGAGGTGAGGAGTGAGGAGGAGAGGAGAGGGAGGGAGAGGAGGAGGAGGTGAGGGGAGAGGTGAGGAGGAGGTGAGGGAGAGGTGAGGAGGTGAGGGAGAGGTGAGAGAGGGGTGAGGAGGAGGTGAGGAGGGGAGGTGAGGGAGAGGAGGGAGGAGGGGAGGGGAGGAGGTGAGGAGGAGGAGGAGGAGGGAGAGGAGGAGAGGTGAGAGAGAGGTGAGGGAGAGGTGAGGAGGAGGGGGGAGGGAGAGGTGAGGGAGGAGGTGAGGGAGAGGAGGGAGAGGTGAGGAGGAGGTGAGGAGAGGGGTGAGAAGGAGGAGGGAAGGTGAGGAGGAGGTGAGGGGAGAGGTGGAGGGAGAGGTGAGAGAGGTGAGAAGGAGGTGAGGGAAGGTGAGGAGGAGGAGGAGGTGAGGGGAGAGGTGAGGGAGAGGTGAGGGAGGAGGGGTGAGGGAGGTGAGGAGGAGGTGAGGAGGAGGAGGAGGAGAGGAGGAGGTGAGGGAGAGGTGAGGGAGAGGTGAGGAGGAGGGGTGAGGAGAGGAGGAGGAGGTGAGGGAGGAGGGTGAGGGAGAGGTGAGGGAGAGGTGAGGGAGAGGTGAGGGAGAGGTGAGGGAGAGGGGGAGGAGGAGGTGAGGAGGAGGTGAGGAGGAGTGGAGGGAGAGAGGAGGAGAGATAAGGAGGAGGTGAGGAAGAGGTGGAGAGGAGGTGAGGAGAGGGAGGGTAAGAAGAGGTAGGAGTGAGGGAGAGGTAAGGGAGGGTAGCAGGAAATGAGAGAGGGTAGAGAAGTGGGTAGAGGGGAAGGAGGATAGGAGGGTTGGAGGGAGAGGAGGGTAAAAGGTGGGAGGAGAGTGAGAGTCGTGAGGAAGGGAGGGTGGGAAGGAGAGTTAGTTGCAACACTCACCTCATATCCTAAGGTACGCTGATTCGATCCCCCGGGGCACACCCTATCCAGTTATAATGAATACCTGACTTTACCGCCGAGGGAAGTGAAAGTGGTCGAGTGCAGTGCCGGTAAAACTCGAGAATATGCGGTAAAACACGAGAATATGTGGTAAAATGAGAATATGCGTAAAACACGAGAATATGCGGTAAAACACGAGAATATGTGGTTAAAACATGAGAATATGTGGTAAAACACGAGAATATGCGGTAAAACACGAGAATATGTGGTAAAACACGAGAATATGTGGTTAAAACATGAGAATATGTGGTAAAACACGAGAATATGCGGTAAAACACGAGAATATGTGGTAAAACACGAGAATATGTGGTAAAACACGAGAATATGTGGTGAAACACGAGAATATGGGGTAAAACACGAGAATATGCGGTAAAACAAGAGAATATGTGGTAAAACACGAGAATATGCGGTAAAACACGAGAATATGCGGTAAAACACGAGAATATGCGGTAAACACGAGAATATGTGGTAAAACACGAGAATATGCGGTAAACACGAGAATATGGGTAAAACACGAGAATATGTGGTAAAACACGAGAATATGCGGTAAAACGGTAGAATATGAGGTAAAAAACGAAAATATGCGATAAAACACGAGAATAAACGTGTGAGAAGGACAATGGACGATAAAACATCAATAAAACTAACGTGTGAGAGAGAGAGAGAGAGAGAGAGAGAGAGAGAGAGAGAGAGAGACCAGCGGGTGAGACAGCAACAGTTGAGTAAAGGGGAGGCGGAGGGAGAGTGGGAGGGAGGGGAGGAAGTATGTGGAGGGTGGGAGGGAGGGAGGGAGGAGGGAGGAGGGAGGGAAGGAGGGAGGGGAGGAAAGAGGGAGGGAGGGAGGAAAAGAGGAGGGAGGGTGAGGGAGGGAGGGAGGGAGGGAGGGAGAGACAGTAACAATTGTCACCATGACAGTAAGACTCTCTAGGCTGAACAAATGGCTTGTCCTCCCTCCTCCCTCTCCCCCTTCCACTCTCTCTCTCCCCCTCCCTCTCTCTCTCTCTCTTTCTCTCCTTCCCTCACTAGCTCTCGGTGTTCGCATTATGTTGTTACATCTGTCTCATTGTTCTTCCTTTCTCACCATCGATCTCTCTTCCCATCTATCTCTCTTTCACCATCATCTCTTTCTCACTATATATCTCTTCTCAATTCCCTCTCTTTCCATCTATCTCTTTTCACCATCTATCTCTTCGCCATTTATCTCTTTCTCACCACCATCTCTCTTCTCACATCTATCTCTCTTCTCCACTCTCACATCTATCTCTCAATATCTATCTCTCTTTCACCATCTATCTCTTCTCCATCTATCTCTTCAATTCTCTTCTCATATCTATCTTCTTCCCATCTATCTCTTTCTCACCATCTATTTCTCTTCCTCACCATCTATCTCTCTTTCTCACCATCTATCTCTCTTTCTCACCATCTATCTCTTTCTCACCATCTATCTCTCTTTCTCACCATCTATCTCTTTCTCACCATCTATATCTCTTTCTCACCATCTATCTCTCTTTCTCACCATTTATCTCTTTCTCACTACCTATCTCTCTTTCTCACCATCTATCTCTTTCCACTATCTCTTTCACCATCATCTCTTTCTCACTATCTATCTCTCTTTCTCACCATCTATCTCTTTCTCCATTATCTCTCATCTCTTCTCCTCTATCTCTCTTTCTCCCACTATCTCTTTCTCACCATCTATCTCTTCTCACTACCTATCTCTTTCTCAATTACTCCATCTCTTCTCACCATCTATCTCTTTCTCACTACCTATCTTCTTCTCACCACTCATCTCTTCTCACTACCTATCTCTCTTTCTCACCATCTATCTCTGTTTCTCACTACCTATCTCTTTCTCTCACTCTATCTTTCTCTTTCACTTTGTTTCCCTTTACTTTCTTTTATTGTAGTTTTTTCTTTATTTCATTGTTCTTTTCTTCTCTCTGTCTGTCTCTCACTGTTAATGACATCACACGAGACATCACAAGACGGGGTAATGACGTCACACATGCCATCAGGTGACTTGTATATGTTAAATAAGCTGAGTTAGAAGAAATAAGCTGAGT